CTGTTAAGGATACTCTGGGCTTTCTTGAGGAAGGGATATCTGATAGCTGAGCTCTCATAGAAGACTTACAGGCAAAGGAAATAGCATATGCTAACACCTCAAGGCTGATACAAGCATGACAAACACTAGGGACAGGATGCTGAAAGTGAAGTAAAATGTAATACAAACCTGAGCTGCTGGGCAGATGGGCAGCATTGGACATGACAGTTTGTGTTTATCCTAAGAGCATTGGGAGACACTGAAGGGGTGAAGTAAGTAGAGATCAGCATTTTGAACAGCTCTGCATAGCTAGGCTATGAAGAACAGCTTGGAAGGAGAGGCTAGACAGGAAACGCAGGACAGTAGAAACCTTAAGAGTTGGTGTGGAAATGGAGTACACAGACCAGAGAACTGCTCGGAGAAGAAAGTAGAAAAGACATAACTGGTTTTGAGTTGGATACAGGAAATGTGGAAAAGAGGTCAGTGAGAAATGGAGAAGTCAAGAGTCAGGTTCGGGACACAAGAAGTCATGAATTTGGGCCATGCCCAGTTAGGGCGTCTTTAAAATATCTCACTGAGGGGCTGGAGAATTGGCACAGTGGTTAAGAGCACTGACTGCTCTTGCAGAGGACCCAGCGGCTACAAACAGTCCTTAACTCCAGTTCCAGGGGAGTCCGAAGCCCTCTTCTGACCTCCTCGGCATTGCACAACAAGGGTGCACTCACATACATGCAGGCAATATACTCATACACATAAAATAAAAATAATAAATAAAATATTTTCAAAACAAAAACAAAACATCTCACTGAAAGTATCAAGGAGACAGATGCACGAGGCTAGAGTTCAGAGGATAGATGAATGTGAGAGTCTTCAGCATATTGGTTGCCACTGAGAATGTCATCATGGGTGCAGGGGGCATTTTTTGGGGGGCGTCTTTTTGAGACAGGGTGTCCCTGTAGCCCCAGCTAGCCTGGAACTCACTATGTAGACCAGGCTGGCCTTGAACTCACAGGGATCCGCCTGCCTCTGTCTCCAAGTGCTGGGATTAAAGGCAAGGTGTGTGCCACCACACCCAGCATGGGGGCATTTTCTTTTTTGTTAAAGGTTTACGTATAAATGGACAGGGTGGTGGTTACAGGAAGAAAGCTTGTTTCTAGCTGTGATTGTATGCTCTTCCGTGGCCAGAGACTGAAAACAGACCAATTTTTGGAGGAAAAGGAAGCAAGTGAATTGGTTCCTGACGACCTAATACTCGCTGCTGCTTCCAGTGGGAGTGATCGGGCTTTGGAAAATATTGCTACATTATGAGGAAGTTTCTAGTATTATCACTGCGCAAATTCCTTCAGGCTTTTTCTCCTTTGAGGGGTTGTTTTCATGGCCAAACTCGGGCAACAGTGTGCAGGTACAACATTGCTTTTATGAGATGTGTTCTCAGTTCTCAAAAATAACTTTTATAAAATAATCTGTTCATACATTGGGATGTCTGTGGTTAGAGGTCTGTAGTTACTTATAGGGCCATGGATTCATGGAGGATCCATGGAACCTGCAGGAAAACAGAATCAGGAAGTTTCAAGAGAGGGGACCACAGGTTAAGATAACCCAAAGAACTGAGACTTACAAAGTCTGTGGTTGGTAATGCTGGACTCAGCAATATCAGTGCCTTTTCAGTGGTACTAACCTGCAGAAGTGCCCATTGGTTGAGAAAATGAAGGAAATGCTCTAGACCCTTATAACTGCAAATGGGGTCTGAAAGCACCCAGCAGCAGCAGTGCCAAAGCTCAGCTTCTTCCTCCCCAGACCTAATGAATCAGAACCTGCATTTAAACAAGGTCCCTTGGTGATTCTCTTTTTTAATATCTTTCAATTACATTTTATTATTCATTTCCTTTAATATGTGTATACAGCATGCATACGATGATCAGAAGACAACTTACAGAAGCTGGTTCTCCCTAACCGTATGGTACCCAGAGACTGAACTCAAGTATTCAGGCTTAGGGACAAATGCTTTACCCACTGAGTCAAGTACAGGCTCCCTGTGTTGATTCTTAAGCACATGAAAGATTGAGAAGCACTGGTTAAGAAGTCTGATGATGGTTAGCAAAAAAGTAGATAACAGCAGAAGAGAAGGAAGACTGCAGATGGAGATGAGAGACGATCCCAAGAGGAGACAGTCAGGATCCAGAGAGCTGATGAACATGGGAAAAGAAAAACGAGAGACAGAAGAGGAGCTATGAGACCAGAGGCAGACGACTGATGACTGAGAAAACACTATGGAAAGATGACCCACTTCTCAATAAAGATGAAGCTAAGGTCAACCACTGAAGAGGAGGGAAAGAAAAGTTTTAGGCCAAATAATACATAGATGAGAAACCCTGTTCTTTAACTCACAGAGTTCTAGTTTAAGTAACATTTAGTAACTTTTGGGAGTCTTTAACTTTTGGGAGTATTTTTCCTGTAACCTCTTTAGACAGGTTTGTGTCACTATATAAAAATACCAAATACTATAATGATTTACAGTTCAACTTGGCATTTCTGCAAGTTGCTGGGGGTATAGGTTGAGAGGTTGAGTCATGAGCTTTACTAGGCAAACATTATACAGGTTGTTAATGCACATGCAAAAATGTATGAAAACTTGAAAGAACAAAAATCTTAATCTTTGCCTACAGTTTTTATGTCTGAAAAGTTTGCTAAATCAATAAAATGACCAGAGTTCATCTCACAGTCAAATTCATTAGTGATGTACTTCATTGGTTTTCTGATGACCATTTATCATGAGGTGTAGAATCTTCAAAATGAATGGGGGAAATGAGAAAACTTGACATGCTTGCCTCTTATATAAACTAAATATTTGATTTATCATACACAAATGAACAAACCACTACAGCCTGTCATGTTTTCTTAGTTTCTAATTTATTCAACCTCTGCTCAATATTGATCCTGACAAGCAGCATGGCCCAAAGATAAATTTATTCATTCCACAGTTTAGTCAGGAACAAGCCAAAAATTATAGATTTTCTCAGGCAGATGATGACAGGCAGTCAGGAGGATGACAAATGGCTGTCTTTAGATTTAGTAAGGACAGTTGGACCAGACGTTTCCGATAAAGATTGGAGCGCACTGGGCAAATACAGGTTCATCACGGTCATCATTAAAGCCGGGAGCGCTGCCTGCCGCAGATGCCTGCATAGAAGCTGGGGTACCAGCCTTCAGGGGAAACAGAATCAGCTCCTAAGAATTTTGCAGCAGTCTTCTAAGTGATAGCCTGACATGATCATTTATCAAACAGAGACTGTCCAGAAAAGTGCCTGCTTCCTTTAGAAACTTATTGAAGGGCAGGAAAGTGAAAGCATTTTATTAAAGACAGGAAGGCAATGAACAACCAGAGCGTATCCAAAGGGGAATTGTATTTCAGAACAGGATTAGTTTAGTCTTAAATAAACACATACTGGAGGGAGTTATGTCGAGGGTCATTTATCAAATGAGGAATAATTAACAAACTCCAACTTTTTAAAAAATCTATACCAGTTTAAAGCTCTCATATTGTTGGGGCATCATATTCGACACTATGAAAAATACAGCATACCCCTTCACAGGTTTTAGAGTAAAAGAAAAATACACTATAACTCCCACAGAAAATAATTATGGCCATGTTAAACATTGAACAAAGTTGCAGAAAGAATAAAATCTTCTAGGGCCTAGGACTGAGGGCTGAAGTTATAATTTTGAAAAGAGCTTTCTTATATGAAGAAAACTGTTTGTCAATGGGTAAGAAGTTTCTTCCTTCAAATTTGCTGTTGACCAAAATCGAGAGAAAGAGGGAATCAGCTGAGAACACTAGGGCAGGCAAAGAAACAGAAAACTAACATATTTATGACTTGCCTGTTTTGTTCCCCACACTTTATATGTCATGACAATTAAGCCTATTTGTAGCCACTTTATAAAGACATGCACACAGTGAGCAAAGCTCCAGGAGACTTGGGATTGCCATTTAAAGAAGAGAATTCCTGGGTTTTCACAAGATACTTATTTTGAAACCTCAAAGTCAAAACAGACAAAATTCTGCAGATATATCGATCCAAAGGAAATTAAGTTAGCATTTTGAAGAGATACCTGCATTCTATGTCTATTGCACCATTCTTTTTTATTTTATGAGTGTATTGCCTGCGTGTGTGTAAGTACTGCATCATTCTTTACAGTAACCAATGTATAACAGCCTAATTACATTACTTTTTTGGAGTAATCATATCTTTATCCCATTTTAAAAATAATTTGGAGCATATATAAGAAATAACCAAAGCATATTTCCTTTCCATTAAAAAGTAGTTAAAATAACATTTATTTTTTAAAGAGGAAAGGGGGAAAGCAAGAAAAGGAATGAAAAACAGACAAAAAAAATTGGGGACAGAGTGACACTGGATGGGAAAGAACTGCAAATAGGGAGAAAGTTTAAAAAAAAAAAGAGGAGCTGAAAGTGCTGGTTCTGGAGAACTTAGTCCATTTCCTCGCCTTCATTTCATTTGACTTGTAGACCGCGGATTAACCTAATTATTCCTTGAAATAGCAACAGGTCATTTTCTGGCAAGCTATAAAAGCATGCAAATGCTTATAACAAAATGTAAAAAAAAAAACTGTACCCACACTAAGCTCACAATTTAAAAAGAAGTCCCTATACTCAAAAAGGACAGATAATGTCAATATTTCAGTGCAGCCTTTTATGAATTCTACTGAAAGTAGGGCATCTTCCTCAGAAATTAAAATGGGCTTAGTCTTAATATGGACTGAGTTAATTTAAAGGCAACATGTCCAAGAACAATTCTGTGAGCTCCAACTTAGAACCTCACACTTTGCCTCATCTTCAGCCACAGTACTATTAGTCCAGACCATTTTGTTCAAAAGCTAGACATTATTCTGTTTAAGGAGATAGAACAGCATAAAAAGCAGTGACTGCCTTTAAAAACAGCGAGCACGCCTGTGTCAATAACTACAAAAGTCCTGTGTCCCTTTTTCTCTCCTAATTATAGGATTTGGAGCTTTTACTGAACAAGTTGATGAAGCTATGGAAATTGGATCTAAATGGAAATCCTGTTTGTCTTAAACCAAAATACAGGGACAGACTGATCTTGGTGTCCAAGTCACTAGGTACATGTTTTTCATGAATATAGTTTTCTTAGAGTAAATCACTTGCTTAATTTTTTAATTTATCAGCAAGATTTCAGAAATGTATATATATGACATCAAAGCTCACAGCTGGTTAATCATAATACTAGTGATTCTCTACAATGTAGGAAAGAAAGTACATCAAAAATGTAAACCATTTTTTTTCAAAATATGTATGCAAGAGCTATACACACCCCACAAAGGTAGGAAAGAAAGAACACACAGAGACCAGTCATGTATGTTTTTTTAAAGTTCTGCAGATGGCTCTGCTATGCAATCGCCTACCCCCACCCCCACCTCCACATCTAACTTCTCCAGCACCACACGCATTAGTCCCCTTTCCTCAACCAGTAGAATCAATACAATTAATGCTTAACTGTTAAGAACCTTCCAATTTGAGCTGGAGAATAACCCAGTGGCAGAGTGCATACCTAGTGTTCACAAGGTCCTAAGTTTGATTTTGAGCTCTACAAGAAAAAAAATAAATAAATAAGAAAAACATTTCTCACGTAGTTCTGTAGATAAGATCACAAAAGGTGTGGCATTGTCTATTAATTTCTGAAAATAAAAAAGTATTCAAAGTTTATTTTGCATAACTCTATGACATACTTTGTGATTATAAAATTAATTAGAATAAGCACTTGGGAAGCAGAGGCTGGTGGATCTTTGTGAGTTTGAGGCCAGCTTGGTCTACGTAGTGAGTTCCAGGACAGCTGGGGCTACAGGGAGACCCTGTCTCAAAAAGACAAAAAAAAAAAAATTAATTAGAATAAAACTCAGAGCATGGAAATGTAACTCAATGGTAGAGACCTTGACTAGCATTTATAAGACTCTGAGTTCTAGCCCTAGCACTGCAAGGAAAAGAAATACAGAGAAGAAAAAGAATCACTCATAATCCTGCCATGCATAAACTGTTAACGTTAACTTTAGTATGTATCTTTCCAGTCTTTTCTCTTTTTTAAAACTTTTAAAAAATATTTTATTATTTTTAGTTTATGTGTATGAGTGTATTGTATGTGTGCATGTATGTGAGTCCACCCATGTTGTGCATTGCTGCGGAAGTCAGAAGAGGGCTTTGGATTCCCCTGGAACTGGAGTTAAGGCAGTTTGTAGCCGCCGTGTAGGTGCTGGGAATGGAACTCGGGTCCTCTGCAAGAGCAGTCAGTGCTCTTGACCACTGAGCCAACTCTCCAGCCCTCCAGTCTTTTTTCTAAGCACATATACACATGCAACAAATTTGCTTTGATTTGTTTTTATTATCCTCATTTGTAATACTCAATGATAAAAAAAATAATAATAAAGTTAAAATAAAGGACTGTGCCAGGCATGGTGGTGCATGCCTTTAATCCTAGCACTCGGGAGGCAGAGGCAGGTGGATCTCTGTGAGTTCAAGGCCAGCCTGGTCTACATAGTGAGTTCCAGGACAGCTGGGGCTACAGGGAGACCCTGTCTCAAAAAGACCAATAAATAAATAGACTATGAGGAGTCACTTTATGTTTTGCAGTTGACCTGGCCCTCACCAGACACAATGGCAAACTGCATATTTGATTTACATAGTATGAACAGAATAAAATTTCATGTTAAGAGCAAATCGTTAAAATCTCACAAAACCTGTCAATCACTTGCCTTTTTTTCCTAAACCACTGCTATGCATAATATAATAGCCTCATATGCAATCATGTGATTAAAATGACATGGAACCAGGTCAGTCTAGTTGCCTAGGACAGTCTCCTAACCTCTCCTAGCTCTGTTTGGGACCATAATATGAAGAAGTAGGAATTTTGGTAAAATATTAAGATTTTTCTTTTC